AAAAAAAAAATTTACATAAATCACTTCTTAATTTAAATTAAAAACTTTAATCAGTAAATTAAATGGCCTAGTTACGTTTTAAGGTTCGTAAAGCAGTTCAAAACACGGTGGTTTGCACCTTGAATTTGAACCATGTGTTTTGAATTGTGGGATTTAAACCCGGGTTTAAACCTTGAGAACGCGAGGGGGATTTGGGTTTATTCCTTTTAATGTTGATCATAATACGTACACTGAAAGAGAGGCTGAGAGAGCGCCTTGGAGCGCCAGTGATTTCTTCATATTCAGCTGCATCCAATTCTCTCAGATGGTGTGGTCGAAACAGCTTGGGAAGAAGATGTTGTCGTATGCTGATGAGAAGGAAGAATGGCAAGGGAAACAATATTCCAGCTATAGGAATCCATGTCACTCCAAAGCACAACAGGAAATACACAAATTGGAATATGGTAAATATTGCAATGTATTTGAATGGCACTGATTCCACAAACGAAGCATGAACCCCTTCCAAGACCCTGCCAAAGTCACCAACATTAAAAACTTGGTTTTTAAATATTTGAACATCCATTTCTTTATCAGTTAAGAAAGAGGTTTACTTGTATCGGCGGCCGGGAGTGATGAAAAGGAGAAGCATCCTTTCCCAAAACTGGTTTCCAGGGAGACTGTCGATGGCCATATAGGCGAAATATCCCCAGAGAACTGATGTGGGAATCTTCTTTATTGCAGGCATGGCGCATACCGATGCTGCAACAAGAAGCGACTGTAGAAGATTGCTTACTCTCTGCTCGTTAACTCGGACGGGAAGGTACTCATCAATGTGCTTCTCTGGATCGAATGCGCCTTTTGCATTCTCGTCTTGGTTTTCACCTTTCATCACTGCCTCCTTTAAGTCTTGAAGCTCTTTAACAACTGCAGTAGTCTGCGCCAGAGAGCATTCAGGACGTTGTAAATATTATTTCTCAGTAAGGATCTCGGGATGAAAGATCTTGTTCTCTCACAGAAAAAAGATCAGTATTATTCTTTTAGAGGACTTACTTCTGGACTGATGTCCATCTCAATGAACACAGCTTGCATTTGGCCAAAGATTTCGGAGTTGCTGGCTTTCTGCTTTATGCTTTCCTTGGCACTCTCTACCATTTTCCTCCGAATCAGCTGCAATTGGATAGAAAACGTGATCGGTAATTTAGCTCAAAGACCGAAAATCTAAGGCATAAATCTCCACTGGCGTTCGCGTTTCCTCTCAAGTACCTGCCCCTTGAGAACTGCGAGGCTCTTTGTGTGCATAGGCGATTGAGGAAGGACCCCATTAGATGGAGGCAGGCCCAGTAGTCCACAAAGTAGCGTCTGTCATAGTTTTCATAGCTTTGGATCAGTATACAATGGTCACGCGTAAATATAGCATGTATTAATTAGTAGGCAAATAGTACTATATGTTACCATGAAGCCAAGCAACAAGATGTCGCAATGGTAAGCTGAAGGATTCTTCAAATTGAACTCCTTTTGTTGTGCCATCTGCGAAGCGACGCTGTGGTCAAAAAAGTAGAGCCCAGCGATCATAACAGCGGGAATAAAGGCTGCAAAGATGTATACAGGAGAAACCTTTCCCACATCCTGCAGAAACAACATAAAACAGATTATTTCACTCCAGAGATACATAAAACTAAAATTTATGTAGTTTTGTTTACGTTAATCACGGTCCAGTGTTGTAGTAGAAACCAAAGTTTCCACCGTGCTCAAACTTCCATCTATACGTCCAAAATCCATAAAGCCATATCACTTTCAGACTCATAATAAAAAATAGGAAAAAAAAAAGTACATATACAATAAAATGAAATAAAGAAAAAACAAAAATCACTTTAGCTTCCGAACAAAAAGGCCAAAAATATGTATAGCAAGGGAACCTACTTTCATTTTCAATGAATTAATAAAAACTAAAAAGAAAAAAAAAAAAAAACAAACAAACTTGGCTCCAGGACAAAAAGGATTTTTCTTCCTTGTCTTTCCACAAGGCTTTTGAGCCATGAACTAAAGTCAGGTTTGAATTCCACAAAGTTAGGCTCCGTGGGATATTCCACTTGTGGAAATTAAGGTAGTAAGTAGAAGCCATGACCAAACCTGTGTCTCTGCTGAGTTGTTCACCGAATGCAATAACAGGAAGGGCAGAAGCAAGGAAGATGTACGTGGTTGGAGCCAAAATCCTGCCACAAACCATAAATAAATAAATAATCGATAAAATTTAAAAAAAAAAAGAAAAAGAAATCAGAGAGAAAAAGGGTATACTTTTAACTTGGAGCTTACCCAATTCCTGAACGAAGACCAACAATCCAATCTTGCTTATAACATGAAGATCTTCCCCGGACATCGTTGGCAATACCCCGGAAAGGGGCTTTGAGATTTTCCATCTGAAAATGTGAACAACAGATTGAAGAACTTGCTTTTAATCAATTAAGAGAGAAGAGAGAGAAAGTAGAATGGACAGAACAGAACTCAAAGTACATGAGAAGAAAGAAAGAAAGAAAGAAAGAAACTGAGAGAATGACCAATAAGAAGAAGGAAAAGGAAAATGAAAATCATACTATAAAGATTGAACGTATGAAAACAATATGCGGAAGTGATTAAGTGTATGTTTTACTACTTCCGCAGTAAAAGTTTCACACATGCAAGTCGAGATTTCTGTTTTCCTCCAAAATGAAAATCACGTTTTTTTTTTTTTTGAGCCTTAAAGAAAACAGAGAAAAAAGGAAAGCATTTCAGGACTGAACAACAGTATTTGACTGCGTTAAACAAAGAGTGAAATGAGACTCAAAAATAAACTCTGAGTGGTTATTTTCTTTCGCAATCCCCCGTACTTTTCTTGAAAACCAAACGCAGCATTGAGAAAGGCAACTTCTTTAATTGCTTTTCGTTTCATTTCCAGTTGTCATAACAAGAATCTCACCAAACCCATAAATACAATAACACATCACCTAAAAAACTCCGAAAAAAAAGAAAGAAAAAGAAAGAAAAGAAGAGAAACTACCAAGTCGAATCTTGATATTGGTGAAGAATGAAGAGAAGAAGTGAAAGGGCAGTACCAACGCGGTGGTTACAGGCCGGAGAATTTGACGGCGAAATTCTCCGGCGGAATTGGAGAAGCAAAACTCTCAGGCGAAGGGAAGAGAAGAAACGAGTGGTAGTATTGTTTTTCGTTAAGGGGACGCTAGACTTGGCGGCTTGTTTTGTAGAAGAGAGAAACTTAATAAGTATCACAAAAATTCATTTAAATCCTTTACCTAAACTACGTATTAACATAATAACGTAGGAAACAGAGGATCAATCATACAATTGCAAGATTGTGAGCTTACGTAAATGTGGTTAGACCGTTGACAAAGGCAACGCATTACGATTGAGTTCTAGCCGACTCTTGACTTCATTTATCTCCTTCCTTTGTTCCTGTAGAGATGGAGTCCCACAAGGGATAGGAAGGTTAAAACAAGAACTGAAGAAAAGTCTCTGAAGTTTGTTATCCGCATGCGAGAGAATGATGAACAACAAAAACTGCTCACGAGTACATTTGGAATATAAATACAAAAAGAAGAAATGTATACTTCTGTGTTAGATGAAAATTCTAATTTTAACTGATATGATAATTCTTCGAATACCTACTAATAAAAAACAATAATTCACATGTCACGTTAGTTGAGAAAGAAATTGAGACAGATTATTCATGAAATTTTCCTTTAAAAAAAGTTTACAGTGTAAATATGTGGTGGCATATTTGCTATATGCATGGTTTCCGTGTGTGACCTCATATAAAGCGTTCCACCATAAATCTGACTTTGCCTGTAGCTGACGCCACTGCATGGCCAAATCGGCTGGGAACAGTGCGAAGTTGATACCGCATTTCTCTACACGCGCACAAAAAACATCTATATATATTCTCAACTGTATTCGGCTGGGAACAGTGTGAAGTTGATACCGCATTTCTCTACACGCGCACAAAAAACATCTATATATATATATATAAATAAAAAAGATAAGAAGAAGAAGAAGAAGAAGAAGAAGAAGAAGATCTCAGACACAACCTGACACATTGGACCGAAAATGATAAAAGAGAATTACGTATCAATAAGGAAAAGCAAAAAAGAAAACAGATCTGAAGGAGAGTCTAATTACCATCTCCTCGCATTGCATTTGAAACTTACGTTTGTCAAGAACTAGATGACCAGGAAAACTGGTTGATTTACTGGGCACTCTCAGATTTCTTCTGCGGCCAATCACAGGTCTGCAAATGCTTGCAAAGCCAATTGTAAGTACAAAATTCTATATATGCCATTTGCTTTAACCAAATTAACTGCAATATCTATAGCATTTAACCACGCAATAAAAAAAACAAAAATCCAAATTCCAAAACTGGGGTGCAGTTTTAACTGCATCAAAATTCATCACGAAAAAGAAAAAGGGCCTTGGACAAAATTTTGAGACCCATACTGTTTGAAGAATTTCATCCCACTTTCAAGATAATACTACCAGTCCCCCATTATCACACCATGCTATTTATTATCCTGAATTTCAAAATGGGGGTATTTGATGCTTGAGAATAAAGAAACCAATAGATTAAGTTACCTTCCATCAGCTATAATCAGATATCTCCTATTTAACTCGTATATCGCTTTTTTGGCCGCAGATTGTGACTTGAATATAACAAAAGCCTTGCCTGTTCACACGGAAGAAAAATGAATCAATACAAGCACATGAGCTGGATTCCTTGATTAATGAGAAAACGGTAAAACTAATGTAGCTGCTGTACCGTATAACGGGTTAGAAAATGAACTATACTGTATCATCTTTGCATCAACCTTTTCTTCAAGGGCACAATAAATTAGATCCTGAAGAGGAAAAGGGATCAGGATAAAGCAGAATGTCCTAGCCACACAACATTTGTCCATAAAGCATCACTATCTTTCCAATGGTATTTGGTGGTAAAGGAAAATTGCATTTGAAGATTTTAAGCGAATGACATCGATTTAGCAGTTGTTCGAGTAGATTAGTGTTTGACATCAACTGCTCTCATCTTTTATTTCATAGAAAGAGACCTACAAGGAGAATCATCGTAACTACCTCAACGTCAACTGAAGCAAAGGACGGGTCCAAATTTTCTAGCAAGACCAGTGTACCTGCTTCTTGAGCTTTCTGCAGTTTAACTTCCCAAGACTGGAAAGTTGTGGAGAGGAAGAACGTTTATCCTTAGGATATTATTTTTTAGTGATGCTACAAACTTGGATACCATAGAGATTTTGGGGTTCATTTTGCAATTAAAAGAGCCTTTCAAAACAAAGAGATGATAACAAATGTAATTTCCAGATGAAAATGGACTTTATGCATCCCTTACAGCTTGCTAAATCAGGATAATTTGAAATACCTACATGCATCATCGATTATTTTTTAGCAAGCCTTTGAATTGCAGATTCTCTCAAATTCATAGAAATTGAACTTGAGAAATAAAATTTCCAAGATAATCTTTTTAGAAGATCAAACGCTATCTTGAAATAAACCATAAATGGGATATTTTAAGATTCCAACAGTAAATAGGAACTTACAAGTTGTTTAAACCAATTCCTCCTCTCCTGCAAGCAAGAAATTCAAAAAAAAAAAAAAAAAAGTGGTTATTCGAGAAGTTATTTCTAAGTTCAAACATTCCATCTTATTGTGACAGCAAAGAGGACCCAGGTTAGACCATAATTTTTTCCCCCTTTTTCATCATTGGAAGCACAAGCAGCAATAGAATTGCTGAAGAGTTGGTGGTTAATGTTGGAAATTTTAAAAGCAATAGCTACGTTGTGGTTAATGTTGGCAATTTTAAAAGCAATAGCTACGTTGGCATAAAATAGTAAAGCCAACAAGGTTAAATATACACCAATGCCAATTCATTCTTGAAGATAAAAATGGTGTAAACTGAAGAAAATTAAACTTAAATTTTCAAGACTTACAGCATCAGGCCTTCTAGTTACTTCCATAACTTGTTTGTTAGTTTTGAGACCCTCTCTGGATACAAGTTGAGCACCTGCTTTTTCGATAATCTTACACGCCTCTGCTCCGAAAATGTCCCTCTTGGTGGATACTCCTTTCTGACTAATGGAACCTTTGTCATCTAGAAGAATGGTTCTCTTCTTGTAAGGTCGAGGATCTTCTGCGTTCTCAGTTAAGCTAACTTCAAAAGGTCTCACATTAGATTTATCTTTAACTTGTACGCAGGACACAGTCCCACTTTCAACTGCAAAACCTTTCAGCTTGGGATTTTCATATGGGCCTTTCTCTGATTCTGCAACTCAAGGAATAGTGGATTTCATTGATATTTGTCCCACTTCCCAACTGTAAACAAAGGGCAGAGTTGGTATCTTTAGAAGTTACCTTTTAACACAGACATCTTTTTGCTTGGCCCACTCCTGGATGGACTGGCTTCGCATTTGTTCAATTCTATCCTGGAACTGGAAAACATATCAAAGTGTTCACCCGGCTTTTTTAATTCCGCTTGGTTACTTGGAGGATTAGTTGACCGTTGACCTTTCATTCTGTTAAAAAATAACTCCACTGCAATGCATTCAGAAGGTTTTAAAAACATAACAGAAATTGGTCTCCATTTAAAAGTCAAAAAGTTTGGAATTTTTGCTGATCACCAAAGAAAGACTGACCTTTAATTCCACAAATCTCATCTGCAAACTTCTCTGATATTGAGTTTTTACTTACATCGAAAGTACGGTAGAAAACGTAGTCTGCTCTTTGTAACTCATTTGCAGAGGGCCTAGGATTTCTGGTGTCCTTTGAGGTGCAGATAACATTGCATTTCGCAACAACTGCTTCCTGAATAACTTATAGCTCATATCATTTCAATGAATTTCAATAAAGATACCCTTTATTAAAAACTAATAAAAGGAAAACATTTTCTCAGAGGAAGATAATTGGTCATGGCGGTATCCAAAA